TCCAAAGAAGGTATTTTTCAGAGACGAAATACGCAACATTGTATGGCGAACATTTGGCGGAAGGCTAGGCTTACTGCTGTATATGCCACCTTTAGAGGGCACGCAACGGTAGCCTTCTGCCAATGTTGCACTATAGATAGTTATCTGGTAGTATTCCTTACCCAGTAACTACCTAGGTAGTTTTCGGGACGGCACAAGACTAATCCTTATCGCCGTAACTAGCGATCCGGACCGTCATCTCAATAGCTAGAAAGAGACCCGAGCGTCAAGTGAGAAGGCTATCCCCCTTTCTCTCTCTTGCTCTCTGCGTCGATCTCCCTCTCTCTTTCGCATTTTCTCTCCCGCCCTGTCTCTCCAACAACGTCCAATTTCGGCACAGTGATGGCTTTTCCTACCATGATGCTATACACCGACTATCACGAGCCTAGGTCGAGCCGTTTAGATTTGTGCCGCAATCATAATAGTTCCATCGAGCCAAACAACTTTCATTTCCAATTGGGGCAAGATGCTACCATGCATTTTCTGAAAGCCCTGGCGTGTGAGATCAAAAAATATGTATTAGTCTTTGTAGATCGGTAGGCCTTAAGGCGTTTACGTGACTTAAAGTCCAGTAATTATGCAAATTTGGCTGATTTATACTAAATGTTATAAAAAATCATATCTCGTTCTGATTGCAAGTAATTCTGTCATCTCTCAACTATTAGTAGGTTATATGGTGAGCTCATCTTTGCAACAAGAGTTTTGAATTATCGGATTGAGTCACAGTTATAATAATATATTCTCAAAAATATGTAAAATTATAGAAAGTATCATTATACTTTAAATGATCCACGAAAGGACTTAAATACCACTAAAAAACAATAATTAATAATTTTGGATTTTTATTGTTATAATCTGACCGTTTTCTTTGTATTTTCCGTGACATTTGTAAGATTATATTACATATTTATAAAACCGGTGAAAAAAAAAATAGTGTTTGGCACCCGTGGTAGAAACAAAAGAACTTCTAAAAACGTTATTTTTCCAATATTACATGTTATTACAAGTATAAATATTAAAAATATACTACTTCTAAACAATTCTGACTAGATACCTAATAAACTTTTAGAGACTGATCAATATAGACAACTCTACCACATTGTTTACTAACCTTCAGGGTAGCTGAACCGGACGTATTTGTTATACCAATACGAAGCGGACGCGACGGGCGAGCGGACGTGAGGAAGAAGGAAAGATATACGGATGATGAAATGGATGGATGATGGATGATGGGATGGATGGATGATGATGAATGATGAATAATGATGATGATGGAGATGGGATGGATGGATGAGGATGGATGGATGCATGATAGATGGATGCATGATGAGAGGATGGATTGATGGATGATGGATGATGTGATAGATGGATGGATGATGGATGCGGGCGCAGTGCGATCATGGGGTTTAATTGGCTAGAATGGCATGATGGATAAATTAATAGAATGATTGATAGGATGGATAAATTAATAGAGAGGATGGAATGGATAAAATTAAAAGGATGGATTGGATAAATTAATAGTAATGGATGGATGGCAATAAATAAATAGGATGGAGAGATAAATTAAATATGAGGTATAGATGACGGACCGAGACGACGGGCGGAGCGGGACGCGACGGACGAGCGGACCCAAGAATAATATGAAGGAGTGAATATAGTATAAGTTCTATATATATTCTATGGGAGTGACAGACGAGACGAATGGGAAGGAAGACGGACGAGAAGGGATGGACGACAAATGAATGAAGACGGGTGAATGAAAGCCACAATATATAATGCGCAATATAATGCGGCATTAAATAAATATATATATAGATATAATGACATATTCTATATATTAATAATATAAATGAAACATAACCTCCTTGCAACCCTTGGCCGGAGGTAAAAAGAATGAAAGAAAGAATCAGATGAGCTGTTGAGTTGATATAATATATATCAGAGAGATAATAGGCTAGATATTTCTACTCCTGATCATATATATTAAATAT